AACAATATGTGTATTACAAATGTTCACACAAACGTAAACTCTATACATATTTCAATTTCATAAAAATTGAAATTACCTTTAATTGATACATAACCTTAATTACCAAAACACATTCATTTCAAAATTCAGAAAATCAAACTCTATCAAAATACATACATTTCAAACGCATAAAATAAAATAATAATAATTATGCATTGATTTGACCTTAATCTATAAATAAATAAGAAAATTGGGGATCAGTATGCGAAAAACGATAATCTTCAAAGGAAAATCAAGAATTCCCTAACCTTGGCTTTGATACCATATGTAAGCAATTAAACATTAATATCAAGATCTTTAGAATTTATGATTTTTACATATAAATTTAATTGATTGAAAAACATACCTTAATTCATTGCAATGATTGAAAGATTTAAATCCGCAAAACAAAAATTAGTAAAATAAAGAAAATGTTCTCTCTCTTTTCCTCTCTATAATTGAATGTCTATATTTGATGGGTTCCATTCATATGTATGGGTAGAGAGAGACAATTTCTCATGGGCCATAAAAATTACCCATTTTTCATCAAAGTTGACAGTTATAAAACTGCCACTTCTCGATGGGTTAATTGGATTTTAGAAATATAAACTACTTTAATTAATTCTTTAATAATATTGCACGGGCCACAATTAATTGGTTTTACCGCAAGCACTGGTCACAGCCACTAGTAAGGTAGCTAAAAGGAGAAGATTGAGGTGGTTGCTGAACTTTTCCTGGTGGCCATGGCTAGATCCTAGATAGATAGCTAGGATTTTGTACGGTAGCCTACATGAAGGGGATGTGCACATTATGAAGGGAAATATTATGAGGTTTGTTTTTGGGGAGATTAATTGAGTGGAAGAGAGTGAAAAAGATATTAGTGTACAAGTAGGATATTGTAAGCTTATGCAGAAGTTCTATGCATGAAACTCGAGTAGGATTGGCTACTTAAAAGATTTATTTATAAGCCGAGTTCTAAAAGGTACACCAAAGCTTTGAGGCTCGGAGAAAACACCCTACCTCATCTAGGTGGGAGAATAGACAATCAACTTTATGTTGACCGTCTAAGTTGTGCGTAGGCAGAAAAAGGAACGCACCTTTTTTTATTTGTCAAGTGGTATTTGTTTTTCAATATGTAGCTCAAAAAAATATATGGTCATTGCTAAAATTTAGAAAGAGAATCAGTTCAACAAAAAATCAACTTTAGCCCAAATCCAACTTAAGAACATAGCTTTTCTCTGCCCCAAGAAAAATAAAAAAAAAAATAAAAATATTGACTCGGAGTTTTATGATTTTGAGATTTATATTTTTGTTGGAAATTTGAAAAATAAGTTGCAAAGTTCCAAAAAATTTAAGGTTGCTTGGCATCCATTTTTTAAAACTTATTTTCTTCCAAACTCATTTTCAATTATACATTTTATTGAACCCATAACTTTCATCATTTTTCAATAACATATTTCACCAACTTTATTAAAATCTACTGAAAATTCAATTTTTATAAATTCAAATCAAATAGAAGCTTTATTTTTTCATTTACAATAAATAATAGGAAAATAGAAAACGCCTTATTACACTTAGACTTCTTGTCAAGCCTCAACACATTTTAGAACCTTACTTATAAGTAAATATGCACCCAAGATGAGAGAAAGGTTCAGGATAAGTAATTTTTTATTTTTACTTAATTGGAAAAAGAAATATGTTAGCTTGCCCTTTAATTTTAAGCTTAGCCATAGTGTGGATGTTTATTTCATAAAACCATTTCATACTTGAAAGATCAATATTTGCTTGCAATTTTTTTGATATTTATGACATGTTTGATATGTTGATGTATGGGATAAGAGCGAATAAGATTGCACCGTCTGTAGTATCATTTCCACTCGACCATACCAAACTTGGTCAACTTCACAATTGGATACTTTTTAATTTCAAGATATCCATGATGTTAATTAGTTCAAAGATAATGCAATTGTCATCTGAGGACGTGAAGAATGGATTGGATGCAGGCCATTCTCGTGAGGTGCAAATATAAAAGAATTTTCTGGTTTTGGAGAAGATGGACTCTCTTCGATGTTTCTTTGTCTTGTTTCTTTTGTAGAAGGATTTTGCTAGCAAAGTCCTTTGTATACTCCTTGAATTAGGAGTGAGCACTTTTTTCCAAAATCGATGGAACCGGATCGAAACCATTTAGAACCAATCGGTTTTGTTTCGGATCTTCTAAAAAATAATTTGATTTCGGGACAAATTTTTAAGAATCAACCGGTTCCCGGTTCTAGTATGGGAACCGCGGGAACCAGACGGTTTTCATTGAATTTTTCCTTTTTCTTATTTTTCATTTTTTTGGGTAAAATATATGACTCAATCTCCAAAACTTTTATAAAAAATAATTGGGTTCCTTCTTAATTTTAGACTCCAATACTTTCCTTCTTCTCTTTGATTCTTTGCTGGCCTCTTCTTATAATTTTTTGATTAATTAATTTTCAAGTAAAATTAAAATATTGGGTAAATTTATATCTAAATAAATTTATTTACAATATATAATTTCACTTATAAGATGCGAAATTTTTATTTTGTTTTCACTTTAATTACATTATTTTTATTTTGTTTTCACTTTGTAAATCTATACCTAAATAAATCTTTGAATAGTATGTTCGGTTCTTCTATATTTTGTTAAAAGTATTATGTTGGTAGCATTTTTAGAGTTTTTATTAATGAATATTTTATTTTGACACTTTCAATGTAAAGAACCGGATCCGACCGAATCGGAACCGACTTGTTCGGTTTTGGTTCGGTTCCATACTTAGTTATAGAATCAATGGTTCCATTTCTAAAATTCTCATTAGTATTCGGTTCGGTTCGATTTCCTTTTAATTGGACCAAATCGGATCGGGCCCACTCCTACCTTGAATCATGCATCATTCATTTGGCGTAGGATGTGCAAATTTCCTCTTTCTTCTCTCTTTTCTTTTGTAATTTTTATTTCACAAGACAGAATTACGTGAGAAATTCGATCCATATTTTCAAAAAAAATCTTTTTCTTCATATTCATTTTTAAGTCCGCATTCTCCCAATAAAATAATTTTAAAAATAAACACAAAACTTTTTAATATTTTAACTGCACATTTTTTAAAGAATTACTGTTACAAAATTTATTATCCAAAAAAAAAAAAAAAAAAAGGGCTCAAACAAGGTTAAAACGTGCTTAGAACTTCATTTTCTAGAAACAAAGTTAAGCTTTGGTTTTTTCCCCCTTTTGAAACCACCAAGATAACTTTTATTCATAGATCTCAAAAGATGAAGTGTGTTCAATGAAACATGGAGGTTGGTCGATCCACACATTATTGTGAAATAAAAGTAAAGCATGCTTTTGCAAGATAACTTTTATTCAGAGATCACAAATATGAAGTGTGTACAATGGGCTTGTTTGGGAGCAATTTTTCCGCCCAAAAAATTGATTTTTTGACCGTTATTTCACTATTTCAGTCGTCATATTTGACTTTTTCTTTCACAGGTGGATCTCACTTTTCTCCTAATGGTCAAAAATCAATTCTTAAAATCATTCACAAACATGCTTGAAATCTGGAGCTTGATCGACCCACACGCCATGCTGAAACAAAAAAGAGAGCATGCTTTGCGAGAGCTGGGCCAAATTGTTTCCACAATTTGTGAAATAAAGAGAAAGCATCCTTTACAGGCAGCTCTTAGGCCATCCTTCCTTTTTTGAAATCGACATGTAACTTGCCTCGCTGTAGGGGCTCCGGGTGGGTTCCATGTAAATCATCAAAATTTATAAAAATTTCAAAACTATCGTTGGAATTTTTTCATGCTCTATTAATCATTTAAGGATCCGTTTGATTGCAAAGGTGAAAAAAAAATTAATTATATGTAAGTTGGAAAGGAAAAACCATCAAAACCATAAGAATTCAATTCATGGAATTGACCAAAAATATGCTCTAAGTGTTTATACTTTAGAATTCGAACTCCAATTCCACTTTCGTATTAAACAGTCAAAGTAGAAAACGAATTCTTCAAATGTGACATTTTTCATGGAATTGAGTGCTATCGAACGAACCCTAAGTGTATAAAGTCTCACAAATAGTTACTCCACTGAAAAAACTAACATTTAAGCCCTTGTTTGACGACCATTATTTTCAAATTCTTTTTTTCTACATACTCATTTTTAACTAATAAAATATTCTACATCTAAACCTAAAACTTTTTATTACTATTTAATCACACATTCTCCTAAAAATCAATATTCAAAATAATCCTTTTTTTTTTTGGGGAAATAATGGCCATCAATCAGGACTAAATTTAATTAACGCATTATTTCAAATTACATTCCCCTTTTTAAAGCAAGTAACTATTTAAGTGAAAAAAACATTCTAATGACCAATTTTAAATTTTAATCAAACTTCAAGTAGGGACAGATCCAGATTTAAATCCAAGACCGAACTATAAAATTTCAAACCGACTACTACACGGGAAAAAAAATTTACATATAAAAAACTTAATTTTTATCAAAAAAATAAAAAAATACCTTAAAAAGAAGCTCTTGGGCCTGAGGGAGGGGGCTACAGCCAACCCCCCCCCCCTCAATCCGTCTCTGACTTCAAGAGAAGCTAACTAAATCATAAGATGTTAAGATCTTCGTATTAAGTGGTTGTTTGACAAATGTTTTAATAAAAATTTAATAAATTTTGATAAAAATTGATTAAATATATGATTGAAAATTTGTTCAATAAAATATATAATTAAAATTAATTATTAAATTTGACTTTACTTTTTTACAAATTTTTAACCTATATCTAACAAGCATTAAATGACAAATAAAAAGTCAAGCTAGCGACATTTTATCGTTTGTTTGTTTACTCGATCAAGGATATTATTTTTTAAGATATATAATTATTATCAATAAATATTTTCTATCAACTACTATCCATTGGGATCGCCACAGATACACACCGTACATAAAGGAACTTCAGTGCAACTCATCCGTTTTAGTCGCTCCGGTTTTGTACCGTGAGAACTAGAGTTGTAAGTTAGCATCAACGTTTTCCGTTCTCAAGTAACGGAAGGAACAGGAGGATAATCATCTGCTGGGTAAAAGGCTAGTAATCAATGAAACTTGTCCCTACCACAATTTTTTTTTATTTCTTGTCGATCCCCAAATTTCGCCAAATCATCAATCAAACAATTAAAATAGAAACCCTAATCTTTTGATCATATGTATATACTTTTGTTATGTCCATTAGAATTCCAATTCAACTCAATTAGAGGGAAGGGAGGTGGGAATGGCAATACTGTACGCCCTTGTGGCGCGTGGATCGGTTGTTCTGGCGGAGTACAGCCCCACGACGACAACGGCAAACGCTATCGCCCGGCAAATCCTCGAAAAGATCCCCGGGAACAACGACACCAATGTTTCCTACTCTCAGGATAGGTATATTTTCCATGTCAAACGGACCGATGGACTCACCATACTTTGCATGGCCGATGATACTGCCGGACGTATGTATAACTTTTTAATTTTTTATTTTGTTAGGAAATGGACTTATATAATTTGTTTTCACAATTATTTATTATTTATTTATTTATTTTTAACTTGAGCGTTGAATGTTTTGGGAATGTGAATTCTGTATGTGATTTTCCGCAATGGGTGTTTTGGTTAGAAGGAATTGAATTTGGGTTGTGAATTATTATCGTAAAAAAATGTTGCTTTTGTGATATTGTAGGTTGGCTTTTTATAGGAACGTGTTGATTGGACTGTGGTTATTTTTTGATTAAATTCGATTTGGATATTGGAAAATTTCAGCTTTGAAGTGATTTTCTGATTTTAAATGCGGATATTTCGTTATGGATCTGATATGAAGCCTGTTTTGATCATATGTTGCTTTATGTTTAGTTTTATATTGAAATGATAGTTTCCTAATTGTGACTAGTTTTCCTTGGCTAAAGTGATCCTTGCATACGGTTAATTAAATTGGAAAGTCTTAGATTTAGTTAACTAAACATCTATTCATTTTGTAACTTTATCCATTTCAATTTTGTAAACGTTTAATAATCTTATAAATTCTTTCCTTACTGTAAATATCAATGTTTTATATTATAAAATCATTTAATTATAGAAAAAAATTAAAAAAATTTAGGTCTCAAAAATCAAATTTGAGTTCATCTCTGTATTTTGAGTAACTTTGGTAAGTGAGAAACCATAATAGTTCGAAAACATGAAGCTGTAAATGTTTTGATCAGGAACTCCTAATTTTGAGACTAAGAATGTCATTTGAAGTTCGTATGTAATTAGCATCGGGAAAATCCGAAGATAAAAGTACAGAAGTTCTGTGCTTTGGATGTTCAAATTATCCAATTGAATGAATGCTATATGTCTATATGACGACACATGTAGCAACTATATGAAAATAGTGAAATTGAGAAATCAAAATTCATGTATAGAATTTGCTTGTGGCATTTTGAGTTTTTTGAAAGTTATGGGTCTCTCGTCTCGCTCATCCAATTTTAGATTGGATTACAAATAAGTAACTATTGCTGAATTTGGTGGCTTGGGGATGTGAAGTTGAAATTTTGAAAAAATGGTGAAATAGTAATCTATTGGGTTTTGCAATTGATTTTTGGCATTTTATGTGCATGCTGTGTTATACTATCATATTAGCTTTTGTAATAATTCTGACAAATCCACCGTCCCCAGCGTTCCTGCTGACTTTGCCTAATTTTATTGTATTTCAATATTTTCGCAGGGAGAATCCCTTTTGCATTTCTGGAAGAAATTCATCAAAAATTTGTGAGGACATATGGCAGAGCTGTATTGTCTGCCCAAGCTTATGCCATGAATGATGAATTTTCAAGGGTATTGAGTCAACAAATGGAGTATTTCTCTAATGATCCAAATGCTGACAGAATAAACCGTCTAAAAGGCGAAATGAGTCAGGTGATATTTGATTTATCTAAGAAATTTTGATTCATGTTTCTGTTGAGCTGTCATTTCCGTTCCTTTTTACTTGTCTAGTTTTAGATCAACTTTTAGCTTTCCCGAGCGTTGTCGTGATTCCAGATTGAAATTTTTTTGCGAGAATTGTTGTGTAACTTCTGTTGGTTCAATACAATGAACTGCAGATACATTTGAGGCAAACATTTTTGCTATGATGGCAGAAAAGTAGAATTCCTCTCCGATAAATGCACTCTATAATCTATATGCATATTTTTCAGGTTTATGTGGGTTGGTGACAACTTTTGACGTTCAATTTTTTTATTGGGTGACATTACAGGTGCGCAATGTCATGATAGAGAATATTGATAAAGTTTTGGACAGAGGTGATCGATTGGAGTTGCTGGTTGATAAAACATCCACTATGCAAGGCAACACTTTCCGTTTCAGGAAGCAGGCTCGACGTTTTAGAAGCACCGTATGGTGGAGAAATGTTAAGCTAACGTAAGTTACATAAATTTTGATACTTGGAGATTTTTAACTTTTGCATTCAGATTGGTCCATTATCTACTTGAAGTTGATGAATGAATGTTTGGTGCATATCTTCTAGGTTGCAAGCTTAATGAGACAGGATTCAGCTATGAAAGATGAGTGATGACATAGTAGTTTATAAACCCCATATGAAACTAATGTTTTGCTCCAGTGAGCTTGTGATGTTGGAGACCTAAGGAACTTTTACAATACTGTCGAAATATTGAACTTATTTCCAACTTCAACCTATCAAAAAACTACATCATTTACAACTTATTTATAAGCCCCTGTTTGGTTTAGATAAAAATCAAAAAAGTTGATGGAATGTGTGGTTGAAAAGTTACGAGTCCCATGAAATGTGATGTAAAAATTAATTGTTGACTTTGATGGATTATAATCTAACTTTTTAGATGTACCAAACAGGGGCTAAGTAAAGTTTTTAAGCTTAGTCAAAATGCAATTAGTTTTGTGATCTCCAAATTTCTGTTAACGTTGGGAAATAATCGTGGTGTGTTTGGAAGGCTCTTTTTTCCTAGTAATGTGAAATGTTCAGCTGATCACCAGAGTCATTCTACAGGCTAGCATGATTCAGTTTGTTTCCCCTGCCTTGCTAATGAATGTATTTGATCGTCTGCAGGGTCGCATTGATACTACTTCTCCTGGTTATAGTGTATGTTGTTTTGGCTTTTGTTTGTCATGGGCTTACTCTTCCAACTTGTTTGAAGTGACGATCAACATTAAGTGGGATATCCTTACCTTTTCCCAGTTATATGTGCAATTCATCTACCTTATATCTTGATGAGGGATGCTTTTTCTAGTCTTGAAGAAACCTCAGAATTGTGTGTAACCTTTTAAGTTAAAAGTTGAGCTTGTTCAACTTGTATGTTTTACAATTTCCTTATTCGAGAAGATAAGATGCGTGAAGTGTTCTCAGTGCCTCTCATGTCGATCGAGATATTTTGGCACTGGGAAACAGAACAATTGTGTAATCAAACTGTGAAACGATTGTAATTGTCTCTTTATTTATTTGTTGAAATAATTATCTTGTAATTTTATTTTATTTTTGCCATCGTCTTTACAGTGAGATCATTCTTTTATTTTGAGAAAGGGAATCCATCGGTAACATTACAGGGATTTTGAGAGATCTATAGTAAAATACATTTTAAGCAGAAAGCAGTTAAAATTTTTAAGCACGAACATAATCAAGTGCTAAATGCCCTTTGTCCTACTTTTAGTTTATCATGCAATTCTTCCGGTTCAGAATATGAGAGCAACAAGGCTATTATCACGTTGTCAAAAAAATTCGGCGGATCTTTAATGAAATGATTACTTGAAGATCGTTTATGAAAATTGCCCATATGTGAAATGGGCTAATGTGGATGATCTAATAAAGTTATAGTTCAATGTTTCATTGGTCATTGGATGGATTCTGTCTGTGATTGTGTATACTAGGACGGAAAAGTGACATGGTGGTTAAAATTCTTCACGTCAGGAGACTTGCACGCATGGATCATATGAAGATTCGTTAGGCGTTGACCAATTACTTTGAATTTTTTTTCCTGAAGAAGATGAAGTAGAAAATCCATTAACACTAATAATAGGCTATATGCTTCGATCTTATAAGAAAATTATATAATTTCATTTCGGGAAAATATGTGATTGAAAATGAGTTTTGAAAAAATTGAGAACCGAACATAATCTTAAACTCATCCAAACAATGAGTACATTTTTGTTGTAAGATTATTGGAGCATATAAAAATAAATAAATAAATAAATTCATACTCAAACATTGTGTCACAACTTCTCTCTCTCTCTCTCTCCTACTAAAAACGTACTTGCTGTGAAATTTGAATGACAGACGACACCCATTGAATATGAAACTTAAACTTAATGGTCTATTTCTTAGACATTGATACCACATAAATTAGAAGTATTTCTATTTATATGTCATCTATATGACAATTTATAAAATTTATTGGGGATGCTAAAGAATTTTGTCAAATGTTAAACCCAATTCAGAGAGTTGGGTGGCTGTTGACTTGGAAAGTCAATCAAGAGCTGAAATAATTTGGGAATGAGAGAGGCTACCGTGACAGGGCCCAGGTACAAGCCCTGTGATAGGGGGCTAAGGTGGCATAGCTCAACCCCTGTCCTCAGGCTCTGTCCATTTAGCATTAATCTTTGGATATTACGTGAAATTTCCTCATTGGGAAAAATCATAAATACCTTATAAATATATAAAATTTTATTTTATACTATTTAACTAAAATATAAACTGAAATTACTAAATCACTCAAAAATAAAACCAAAGATACTGTAACTAAGACTTTCCCTTTTTTCACCCGTAACTAAAACTGTCGAAGCACAATTGAAATGGTTGAAATTAAATGAAAACACTGAATACATGAAAATTCAAATTCAAATAAAAAATAGATGATACAACAAGAGCAACAATGGTGATAGTGAAGAAACATTCTCCTTCCCTGTGATATATTGGCTTTAAATACCTCTGTTGAATAGATTCACAAAAGAAAATATTTCGAGAAAACAATTATTCAATAAATATAGGTAATTTGTTCGAACTTCTTTCCGTTAAACGGTATTTGTGTTGTTTATGTTAGCTTACCTCGAATTTTTTTTAATATACTATTTGTGTTGATGTTCCTAAAGTCATCTAAAATCAATTTCATTTTTACAAAAAGATGTGTGTTTGATTTTTGCTTCTTGATTAAAAGAAAATTCAATTTTGACTTCTTAATGAATGGAACGCCATAATATTACTGAACATAAGAATAATTAATATGTTGCTATACATGACATTTACAATTCGACTTCCATATCAAAATGTTTATATCGCTTATTAATATCTCAAATGTTTGTGTTTTCTGAATCATTCTATGCTTGATGTTGCAGCTAGCTCAAACTACCAAAAAATGAATTAAGTTGGGTACGTTTACATTGTGACATTCATTTACAGATACTTCCCTTGTGCTGACCTTTAAATCTTGAAACAACATATTTGCGATTGTAAATTTGAAGTTTCTTGCTATGCTTATATAATCATATACAACACACATAAAGATTTTATTTCGAAAATATGATCATTATTGTTGGAAATATAGAGGTGGTAATGAAACCGAATTATCACATACCGTATGTGTAATTTAGATATCAATTTTAAGCATACCATATGTGCATATATTGTATATATCGCTTACCACATATGCAGCTTACCGTATTTGCAGCCTACTGTATTTGCAGGCAACTTACCCTATTTGCAGCTTATCATATATGCTGCCTACCGTATTTGCAGAAAGCTCACTGTATTTGCACACAATTTTCACAAACTATTTTTATTCCATTTCATAAACAATGAGTGATTTATACATATTTGCTAGATACCATATATGCAACTAATATACCGGATATGCACTTACATAGACCAAAATATGGAAATACCGTACTTGCATATATTATCTAAATAAATACCGGTTGGACAACTATCAAATCGAATGTTATCAAATTAATTAATTTTCTTCAGATTTTTTTTTTTGACATAAAGATAATAAACTGTAAAATTATATGAAGCACATATAACAAAATAAATTGAAAAATCTACGAAGCATAAGATTAAATTGCAAATATGTAAATCGCTAAATAAATGAATATGTGAATTGTAGAAAATAAATAAATATTCAACTTAAGGCCTGTGCGAATACAGTTTCCTTAAAACAGATTCATCCTCTCACCGTAAGTGCTTGAGGTCGAATCCGAGCATTTGTTTCCCAAGATACAACGATAAAACCCGTAGAATCTGAGTACCGCAGAAACTACTCCGGCGAACTGATTTAACGCCTGAACAATATAACCACAACGAGGACGCCAAAATTGCAATAGATTATGTATGTAGGCAATACTAATGTGCATACAGTTTTTTCTCCTATACTATATATTTTCGTGGACTGTAATATGATGTGTATTTTCGTGGTTGAATTGTTGGAAATGAGACTTAATATAAGTTTTAAATCTATCTATTAACTCTATAGTAATAAATAGTGGAGTTGCTTCAATTTCTGGGAGTTTTGGCAGTTTTCGAAAACTCAAAGGTCAGTTGGAGAAAGCAAAAAATTGCAAAACACAGACACTCAAAACAGGCCAATTTTTGCTCCGTTCGATTCGATATTCTTGTACGCAGGTCGCACTCGCACACAAGTCCAAGGTCTGAAGGCAATTTTGGCTGGTGATTTGCACCCCCTATGCGAGCACGTGAAGAGAGCATCTATACTACACATGATTACACCCGTCTAATGTGCAACCATATTTAAAGTGGTTATTGCTTTCATATTTTTCCTATGTGGGACTAATGCACTTAAACCATCTTTCAATGGTCATCTTTGAGCTCCAATTTCTTATTTACCCGAGCTTCATTTTGGCAAGTAAATATGTGATTTAGATGCTCTCATGGAGGAGAACACAGATGAACTTTGATCTTCCAAATAGAACCAACGGGGTCCACCGAAAATATTGCCAAAAGTGATCTATTTACTCATTTTTTCCAACAATCCCCAACATGAATGAAAATTGGGAGAGACACGAGACCGTGAGATACAAGATGTGATGATAAAGTTCAACAGTTGAAACCTGCATAGAATAGGTAGGTATTATCCTTTGAACTTTCCTTTGTGAAAGTATATTTACTTTACTAGCTGATCAGTAGACGTATTATCCTTGAACTGTTTTGCCATTTATGTAAACGATGATATACTCTACACAGAATTGTTAATTCAGTTCTCATTATTATGTTCGTTTTGACCACGAATATATGCCTGGTTCTGTGAGAGTTTTTAAGAATTGAGCCATATACAATTCTCTTAGAAGCGGTCCCACTTCTCTCTAACATATGTCATTTCTTATTACAAGTAATCCGCATTACTTGGCTCGAACTTTGACGCATAAGAATCATTAAAAGCTTATTGCTTATCCTTCATTCTTACGGGCATCACTGTTAGGAATGGATATGAGGAAACACCCCCACAGTGATTTTATTAAGCCTTTACAATTAGGTTGTCCCTTTGAACCTAGATTTTGGGATCTCCAATCAACTAGATTGGGTTTTCTTTGTAATGACTTATTCATTCAAGAGCTTAAGTCCCATTTTTTTCGATGATTTCCCAACTAACTCTCTATTTAACCCTTTGGTTAGCGAATCCGCAATGTTATCTTTTGACCTCACATAGTTAATAATGATCATCCAGTTGAGAGTAGTTGTCTTATGGTATTGTGTCTACGACGTATGTGTCTAGACTTACCATTGTACATGTTACTCTGTGCCCTTCCTATTGCTGATTGACTGTCATAATATATACAAATCCCTGGCACAGGTTTTTACCATCTTGGAATATCCTCTAAGAGTTGCGCAACCATTCGACATCTTCACCACATTTATCTAGAGCTATAAACTTATATTTGATCGTAGATCTGGTTATAACTATTTGCTTAGAGGATTTCCACAATATGGCAGCACCTCCCAATGTGAACACAAATCTACTGGTGGACTTTGAGTCTTTTATATCAGATATCCAATTAGCATCACTGTGTCCTTCAATGACCGCTGGATATTTGGTATAATGTAGTCCATAGTCACGAGTACATTTTAAGTACCTTAGTACTATTTGATGTGAACCCGATTAGCAAGGTTGCTATCGAACCCACAAGAATTGACACCGGATCTCAAGAATGCCCAAATACGACCATAGTTTAGGATTTAACTTCTGAATGATGAACCAAACAACTGAAGGTACATTAAACCAACGACCTCTTGATCACAAAGTCTCGAAATCTCACCCGAATTGTGGACTTGAACCAATAAAATTATAAACCAAAAAACTCAGCAAGAACGATGCTTGAAAGACCCCTTGATTACATAACCCAAAGATCCAACCCGATGTTTTTGAACGCCACAAGAAATTACTTTCTTGATAAGTTCGATTTGCCCATTGAAGAACAAGATAATTGAAGCGAAAAGTATCTAGAGAATTTTATTCAATAATTCATATAAAA